GATCCAGTCGGGGATTCCAAGCTGTGTGGGGTGACCTGGGTGTGGGAACAGCATCGTTAAACGGTAAACCCTGTGAAACGTAAATGCAGACCGAGCATTGCCAATGAGGAACTGTAAGTCTAAATGCTCACCAGATTCAGGAGGCTTCGTAGAGGAAGAAGAACCTAAAATATTTCAATAACAACTTCTCTGTTGATTACATATTGCAATAGCATCCTGGATGCTTGGGACTAAGCAGACGAGTAAGATCAATTCCACCTGTTTCCTCTTGCGGCTTACTGAGGCTACCGACAGGGCGGCGGCTCCTGTTCCGTTTCCTCTGGGCTGCGTCCACCCAACAGTCAGTCCCCTCCTCGAGCCAGGGTGTCCTCCGTGTCCCCCTGTCCTCTCCACTGCTCCCTCTCAGACAGACGGGGTCCATCCTTGGGCTAGTTCCTCTCACCCTTTCGTTTCCTGGGCCCTGGGGGCGGAGCTAAGGCTCCATTGGGTTCAGGTCGCCAGGTGTTGCATCGCGCCAGGAGACACCCCGGAGTCATCAGCGGGGCCCTCCTGGTCAATCCGTGAGTGACCCAGAGGCCTCTGCTGCCGGAAGCTCCCTGCCCCCACGCCTGCCCTCAGGGCTGTAGCATCCATCCCCGGATGCTGGTCTTCCCGATCAGTCACTCCCCGGGTTCTCCTCCTTCAGGGAAGTTTGGTGTTTTTGTTTGTTTACTTGTGAGGGGGCGGGGGAAGCAGTGGGCTTTTATCCACGAAGCCATTTAGTTTCTTACACCCACCTTCGGGGTTGAATGAGGAGAAAGTGTACGAGTGCCTCCTGGCCAGGGAAGGGCACCTATTAACATTGCTAATAACCAAAACCCTTTGCCCCTTGAGGCCACCGCTCCCACCTCAGCAGGGAGCACAGGCTGTGCTACCTTCCTGGTGCTGCCAGTTAGGGGCGACCGGCAGGAGTGACCCCCAGACGGGACCAACATTTCTAGGTCTTTATCAAGCTGGCCCGCGGCTACAGGGGCGGCACTTCACCGCGGCAAAGGCAGCGCCGCCGTGCCGGCCACAGCAGTTATACTGGGAATCCACAAAGGGAGGGAGGACAGCTACAAGGACAACCCAAAGGTTACAAACGCCATTTCAGCCGTTTCAGGGCAGGTGCAATGGCTGGGCACGCCTGGCCGGAGCGAACTGCCCCTCCCTCCAAACTCCAGCGGGCCCATTGTGGGCGACTGCGCCACCTCCCTCCGCCCCAGAGCATCCTGCCTCCAGGAGAGAGCAGAGGAGGCGGCCCTGTGGACCGAGGCCAGCTGTGACCGGGAGGTCCGAGAAGAACGTGATTCTCATCAATCAGCAGCTTGCTAGTTCTTAAAAGCATTTCTCCTTCTTTAATGCCATTTATTTGTTAACGGATAACACATGTTCATTCTACAAACGTCCAAAGGGGAACGAGGGCCCAGGGAGGCGTTTCCCTCCATCCCTCGAACCCTTAACCATCCTTAGGCCGACATGTCTCCTGTCTGCAGGTTGTTTCGTTGTCTCTGGGTGCAAGCGAGTGGCATGTCTGACACACGGTCCTGCTCCTCGGGGCCGTTCCTGTACATGTTAACGGTCGGCCCACACCGCCTAGGGCCTGTCTTCCCACCTCCACACGGAGGGAGGCACAGGGACCACCAACTGCCCCCGGGAGGGCGCACACGCCCGCCTACGGGGCTGGGGCTCTAGAAAATCGCCCGCTGGCCCATTGCTAATGTGGACACAGGCTCCCATCACCCCTGTTCCAATCGACCATCACCTATCCCAACCGATCGCCCCTGTCCCAACCGATCACCCCTCTCCTAACTGATGCTCCCGGGCCAGGTCGGTCACCGAACGCAGCTTAAATGACTCAGATCACCGCACTGAGGGCCCGTCCAAGAACCAACAGTAAAACCCGACTAACAGGACCCCCGCTGGGACCTCGGTGACCTTGGCCCGGGCAGCGGCAGCGGCAGCGAGCGGCCCTGCTGCGCCCGCACCTGCGGCCGGGCCGGGGCGGGCGGCGGCGGGGCGGGCGGGGACCCAGCGGGGCCCGGGGCCGAGGTGCGGGCGCCGTGCCCTTGAGCGGACGCCGCGCCCGGTGCCACCGCCTAGCAACCGCCAGCCAATCCCCGCGCGGCCCGGCCATTTTCTGGCAGAAGCCCCGCCCCGCCGCCGCCGAGGGGCGGGGAGAAGTGTGCGGCGCGCAGCCGCCAATCCGCGGGCCGCCTCCCACGCCCAGCCCTCCCATTGGCCGAGCGCCGCGGCCGTAAGGCGGGCGGAGCTGTCGTGACGCGCGGCGGTCGCGGAGGTGTCCTCTGTCCGCTGGGCCGGCGCTGGGCTCCGGGGCGGCGGCGGCGGCCATGGCGGGCGCGCTGGTGCGGAAGGCGGCGGACTATGTCCGGAGCAAGGACTTCCGGGACTACCTCATGAGGTGAGCGCGGCCGCGGCGCCGGGCCCCGGAGGCCGGGCGGGGGCGCGGGCGGGGCGCGGGGCGAGGGCCGGCGGGCGGGGGCGCGGGGCCGGGGCCCGGGGCTGGGACGGCGCGGGGCAGCCCGGCGGGGCGGCGGGAGCGCCCTCTGCACCTGCCCCGGCGGCGGGCCGGGCGCCGCAGCGGAGCCCGGGGACAGGGGCGCGGTGCGGCCGCCCCTCCGTCCGCGGCCTGAGGCCCAGGGTCTCCGAAGCGGGACGGGCGCTCTGCCCCGGGAGCCCCGCTCCGGCCCCGCCGCCGCTTATCTCCGACCCGGAGCCGCCGGGCGGCGGGCGGGGCGCCCCGGGAGGCGGGCTGCGGGCTGCGGGCCGGAGGCGCGGGCGGGGGCGCGGGCCCGGCGGAGGTCCCGGTCGCCGTCCGCTCCCCCGGGCCCGGGCCGGCACCGTCCACTCCGGTGCCCGCGGGGCTCTGCGGGCGCCGGGCCGGGCCGCGCTCCGTGCCGGAAAGTCGGGGCGGGGCCGTCCTTCCAGCGGCGTCCCGGCGGCCCCGCCCTCTTCTCCGGTGTCGGTGCCCGAGCCTCCGGGTCGGGTGACTCCGAGGAGGCGGCCTTGGCACCGTCCGTGCCGGAGGCGGCGAGGGTGCCCGCCCGGAGCGGAGCCAGCGGACCGGGTCTGGGTCTGCTGCCGCCGCCTCGCTGCTCTGGGGCCGGGCTCTCGGCCTCGCGGTCCCCGAGGCTAATGCCGCCCCCCCCCCCCCGGGCCCATTAACGGAATCAGGCGGACCGCCCCGTTCCTCCGGGGAACCTGCTTTCCCTGCCGTTCTTGGCGGCAGCGGCTTCGCTGTGGCTGCCAGGCTTCTCACGCAGGACCTCTGGGCTGAGCGGCCGGCAGGCAGGTTTCCAGCCCCTGCTCCCTCCTGCCGCCGCCCTTCCTGACCTCCAGCGGGTCCTGGCCTGCGCACACGTGAAGGTGCCACGCAGGGGACGGAAAGCAGAAGGCGCGGCTCCCGGCCTGGGCCCGGCCCGGCCTGCCTTTTACTTACCTGAGCGCACGTTTCCCTCCCGCAGGGCGTCCTGGCAGATCAAAGGGAAGGTCCGGCGCACAACGTGAGGGTGTTCAGCTTCGTGAGGGTGTTCAGCTTAGGGAAGGGCCTGAGCCCCTGAGCCCACAGCCGGGCAGTGGTGTGCTGGCTTTCAGCCCTGCGAGTATCAGAGTCCATGGCCTCCGGTGCTCTCTTTTGCATTGATAGGCTGACTGCTGTTGGCTCTAGCCTCCGGCACCTTCCTGTCTGTTCCAGAGTCACCTGCGGTAAACTGAGGTAGAATGTGAACTATTGTCAATTCCAGGAGAGAGTCCTGAATTGAAAACTAAAGTATCTCCAAGATGGCGTTTGGATGCTAAGTACTGTGTCTTTTAAACGTTCCTGTAGGAAAGGAGCGTGTGTTGTTTCAGTGAAAGGCCTTGCTCAGACCGGAGCCATTAAGGGGAGTGGCCAGTGGCTGCCTCCCGCCCCGAGGCCGTCGCTGCTGGTGTGGACTTGCTGGGACACGTCTGAGGCAAAATTTATGAGGCTTTTTGCTCCTTACATTTCATAGCAGAACCTACTTAGCCCTGTCAACAGACAGTTTGTGCTGTGAACTCGGATCTCCACGGTCTCCGGATCAAAACCTCCGGAAGGGTTGTTTGGACGCGTCTATGACAGATTTTATCAGAGTATTTCAACAACTCGTTCAGTAGATAAACTAAGATTTTACCTTCACAAAACAACTAAGCTACATCCTGGCAGGAAGAATGCCATTTCAGAAATAAAAGGAATTCACTAAAACTTCCTATATATTCTAAATGGGATAAAGCTCAGCGCTCAGGAAGACAGTTGGGTTGACATTGGAAGTTTTTAGTGTTCCTTTACTCAATAAATGTGTTTTTGAATGCCCTGGGAATGGAGGGCCCCCTTCAGGGTCCTGATTCTCAGTAGTAAACAAAGTAAATCACACGCCAGCTCTTCTCAGGGGCTTCATTCGGTGATAACCTACGAGTAAATGAAAACGGGAAGCTGTTAACAGAATTCTGCAGCATTGCGCTTCTCTCCAACATTTTCTCAGGAATGGTCCCCAGGTGGTGTGAGCCACGAGCCACCTGAAATGTGGCCGGTCCCCGTGCCAGCACACACCGCGTACAAAGTAGAACACGAGATGTCGCATGCATGCGTCGCCACTGGTTGCTCGAATTACAGTACTTTGGACATGTGGGAATAAATGACTTAATAAAATTAACTTCTGCCTTTCCTTTTAGAAATTTTTAAACTACGTATGTGGCTCCACTTGTGACTTGCATTATTTTTCTATTGGTGTCCTCTAAGGACTACGCTTATTTTTTATAAAATTAAGGTTTAATTTCATTAGGTCCAAGTTGTTATTAGAAATGTCACTAGACTCCTCAGGGCAGAGAGCTGTGCTGCCCACTGTGCAGCTCCAGCACCGAGACTGCAGACTGAACCCCCCCCCCCTCCCCACCCCCGGCCTAACAGGATCCCCGCCTCTGACCTTTTCCTTCTCTTTTTTTTCATGTTTCCCTGTCTGCACCTCGGTGACCTCTCACAAAACAGCACGGTAAGAATCCTTCCTCCTGGTGCAGATCCTGCATCCACAAAGTTAGGGACCTCAGGCCCCTTTCTGGAGATAGCTGAGGAGCACCAGGGCCCAGGGAGGGGCTGAGCGGTCCTCGGCCCCTCCCAGTTCACGCTCTGCCGCACCCAGGGGCCCGGCTCGCTGGGAGCAGTGGGCACAGAGCCTGGCCGCTGAGGAGCAGACCACACCAGCAGCCGGATCACGGCGCGCCTCATTGGTGTGGGTGTTCTTTAACCCAAGTGACGGATTTGTAACGAAATAGAAGTATTTTTCCATTTAATCCAAAATATGTTCCTTTTTCCTTTCAAATGTTTATCATGAAATTCCTTCTTTTTCTAGACATTTATGGTGAATATCTGCTAGAGCGTAGACCTAACGTACTTTAAAAAGGGATGCGAGCACGAGAGCCTTGCGCTAGGTAGAAAGCACGTATTAAGCTTGTGAGGTAGGTACCTTAGCCAGCTAGTGTGGAGTTATCTGTACCTTTATGTGCTTCTTAGGGCTGTATTTACGTACCGGTCATTGCTCACCACCACCGAGCACGCCCCTCCCAGGACCTCCTACAGGCAGCCCTAACTCACCACGCCAAGGCTGAGTTGGCGTCCTGCTGTTACACATGGGTATTTGATGAAAAGCTGTTGGTCCATTTTTAAAATAGAAATTGTTGCTATTATTTTAGAAGTATTTTCCAGTCCTTTTGAAAAATATATTTTTATTGATTTCAGAGAGAAAGGGAGAGAGAGAGATTGAAACATCAGTGATGACAGAGAATTATCGATCAGCTGCCTCCTCCGGGCATTGAGCCCGCGATCCAGCCGTGTGCCCTTGACCAGAATCAAGCCCAGGTCCCTCAGTCCCCAGGCGCCGCTCTGTCCTCGGAGCCACACAGCCAGGGCTCTTTTCCAGTCTGAGTATCTGGGGTTCCCAGGGTCTCAGATCTTAAAATAGCTCATGAGCCAAAGCCATTTTCCCGTGTTAACACAGCTTCTTTCTTCAGACAAAGGATCCAGGTTAGGGTTTGCATTTAAGAGCTGTCAATAAAATTTGAAAAAGAAGTTTTGATAGATGTGAGCATTAAATTACGGAGAAAGCTATCACACGTTTTGAGTTCTGGCAAGACAGAATGTGTGAGAAGTTTGGAGCGCTGAATGGGACAGTCAGAGGCTACTTGGTTGTCATCGGAGAGTTGGTCAGGACTGGCAAGCTGCCCAGTCCTCTCCGCTCTGAGCTCACCTGAGGGAACTGCTGACTCACAGGCAGACCGCAGCGGTGACCAGTGAGCCCGCAGGACGGAGCTCGGGATTTGTTTCCCAGGGCTCACAGCGATGAGAGAGGAGCACAGCTGTTCACAGCTCCGCCCTGATGCCTCCTCTCTCCTTCCCCTTCTCTTTCCGCCATAGCACTTCTGGGGCCCAGTAGCCAACTGGGGGCTCCCCATCGCCGCCATCAATGACATGAAAAAGTCCCCGGAGATCATCAGTGGGCGGATGACGTTCGGTGAGTGCTCGGCACGCCTGCGCCTCTCCTGTGCCGTTACCTAAGCAGCTCCAGCGGCAGCTCCAGACGGGACAGTCCCTTAGAAATGCATCACCCCCTCACGGGGAGGGAGAGCAGGGCTCTGAAATGCTGTCCTGGGAGAGCTGGGTCTGCTAGCCGGCAGGCTGACACCGGCTATCTGATACCTGACCATAAAGCTGCTGAGAGGCCGACATCGCAGTCCCGCAGTGAGGGACTGTGAGAACCCGGGGGGACAGGACCGCGGCTGGAACTGAGGAGCCTCCCTCCCTCCCTCTGTCCCTCCCTCCCTCCCTCCTTCCCTCCCTCCCTCCCTCCCTCCGTCCTTAACATGCCCGGTGATAAGTAATGGTACCCACCGGGAGCCCGGTATCCGCTGAGCTTCCCCTTCCGGGTGCATCTCCGCCAGAACTTACCTCCTGGCAGAGGCCTTAGCGGGAGGGCTGCTCCGGTGGCTCAGGCGGGCGCGCTGTGGACGGGGCCCTCCACTCCCGTCTCTGAGCCGTGAGTCACTGCCCTCTGCTTGCTGTTGGCAGCCCTCTGCTGTTACTCGCTGACGTTCATGAGATTTGCCTACAAGGTGCAGCCTCGCAACTGGCTCCTGTTCGTGTGCCATGCCACCAACGAGGTGGCCCAGCTCATCCAGGGCGGGCGGCTCATCAGATACAAGTAAGCGGGGCGGCCGCCCTGTGCGCGGGCCGGTCCTGCTGGGCGTTCGGCCGGGAGTGAGTGCGGTGGGGGGAGTCGTTTCTGCGCTCAGCGGTGCTTAGTTAGCGCCTGCGCAGGTAACGCCACGCCGCGCAGGTGCACTGATGACAACAGGGAGTCGGGTGTGTCTTCGTAACTCTGAGGCGAATGTTGTGCGAGGTCTCCCCCGGCCTTGAAACTCTCCGTTTCCTTGTGTCTCCCTCCAGGATGAAGGAGAAGGCATCAGCGTAACGGGCAGGGAGGGCGGCGCTGGGCAGGGAGGCTGCGGAGCCACCGGCTCTGGCACAGGACGTCTGTTGAGGACCCGCTGATGCGTTTTTACTAACCCAACCATGTCCACCGAGACAGCGAGAGCCCCCGAGCCCTGACCCGCCCGGCTGCCTGGCAAGTACTGACTGCCCCCGCCCCAGCGAGTAGTCAGCAGGCAGTCCTTCCTGTGACCCCAGCGATGCTTGGTCCGAGCTGTGTGTTATCTGAGGACTTACTGAACGAGCAGCGGGAGAGAACAAAGCCTGAGGCTCTGAGACCCGAGCGCTCAGCATGCTCCACTTGCTGTGTAACCACCATGAGACATCCCACAGCTGGCTCCGTCCTTAAGCTCGCTCTCACCCGGGTCTGAAAAGTACCCGTTGCCATGCAGTGTGTGTCTGGAAGGCTGTAACTAACGGCAATAAATGATTTAAATGTTTGTCAAGTGGTCAAATGGGAGTGACAGATGCCCGCCATGTTTGAAGGCTCTGCAGGCCGTGTCCCTGCAGCACAGGCTCGGTCTAACGTGAACTCCCTCCCCGGTGCTGAGGGGGGAGAGGACGGGAAGGCAGCTCCCGGGGTGCCGTCCTCCCAGCCACGTTAGGAAATGCACCGTGCTGTCCCAGAGATGCCCGGCTGCCTTGGCCCTGGGGGGCGCTGGCCTCCTGTCCTGAGGTTCCCTGAGGGGCAGAGCTGGGCAGTGTCCCTGTGGGGCCGTCCCTGCTGCAGGGGAGAGGGGACCAGGTAGAGGAGGGACCTCCCAGGGGACTTGGTGGAGACCCGCTGCCGCCAGGGTGAGCCCAGGAGACAGCGTGGAGCGTGTGCGTGGCCGGCGTTCCCCACTTCATCCACATCCGCTCGGCCCGCGGAGGGCTCTTCCTCACAGGGCCGTCGCCTCGTCTCTTCCTGATGGGAAGGCTCTGTGCTTTAAAAGCACCGTATCTGCTGTCTGTCGCTGGCACGAGGGGCGCTGAGGACACCTGGGCGGGCGGCGGGGGATGCTGGGGGGCTCCTCCTGCTCTGTCTCCGGGGTCTGCCGAGCTCCATCTAGAGACGCGGGAGTCCCAGCCCAAACCTGTGTCTGTCCGCGCGAGAGCAGCACCGGAGGCTCCTCTGGCCGGCGGCAGTGCGTCCTCCGAGGGCCTGGGGTCGGAGAACAGGGCCATCCATCCCCAGCCCCGGGCACACGGAGGAGCCCGGGGAGTGTGAAAGCGAGGGTGGGCTACGCCGGCCTGGCCGCTCCCGCCAGGACAGGTCAGAGCTGCCGGCTGCAGCCAGCTGCCTCCGCAGCGGCCCAACCTCCCCGGCCGTCCATTCACAGCGGAGAGCGGAGGACAGCAGCCGGGCTCCCGTCCAAGGCAGTGGGCACCGGATGTCGCCGCCGAGGTGCCCTGCTGGCCCCGCGCTGTGCTGGGCTCGGGGACCAGGTGACGATTGACAAGCACTTCCTGCTCCGCCAGGCCGGCGGGGCCCGCTGGGGTCCTGGCACCGAGGAGCCGCTGCCCGCGGCGTTCGGCTGCGGCAGGAAGCTGGTCAGGGCTCTTGTTTGGCAAAGCCTTCGGCCGCGGTTGGTTTGGGGCTGTCCCTCCCTCCTGGCCTCTTCCCACGCCCCAGGCAGGAACCGCAGGAGCCCTCCAGGCTGCGTTCCATTGCTCCCGTTTGTCCCCGTCTTCACTAGATTCTCAGCTCTCTCTCGTGTGCACGGAGCGGTGCAGCCAGTCCGAGACAGGAGCCCGTGGGCGGCTTTGTCTCAGTTTCCTGTTAAGGGTCCAGAAGAGAAGCGAACACCAGCACCGCGTCATCAAAAGCAAAGCCCGGGGACCTGGGGCTCCAGGCTTGGCAGGTTGGTGGCCCTGGGAGGGCAGCACACCAGTTGCCACGGTAACAATTTTGAATTTTTTTTGGCTTTTTCTCTTGAGCATGATAATAGACTCAAACTTTTATAGACTTAATGTGTTGTTTTAAATTCTCATCCAAAGATGGGTTTTATTGATTTTAGAGAGAGGGAGAAAGCAAGGATCACCGATGTGAGAGAAACATCGATAAGTTGTCTCCCATATGCCCTGCTCAGGGATCGAATCCACAGCCCAGGTTGTGCCCTGACCAGGAATCGAACCCATGTCCTGTTGGTGTACAGGATGGCACTCCAACCACGTGAGCCACCAGCAGGGCGAGACTTACTGTGTGTTTGCCAGCTGCACTTCTTGTGGCTCCTGGGCTGTTGCAGCAGCTGCCGGGGCAGGGGTCCTGGCAGCTCCTGCTCTGTCTCCGGGGTTTGCCGAGCTCCGTCTCCCAGAGCCGTGGGGTCTTTGGGAATTCCTCTTGTCCTCACACAAGCTGGAGGCCGCCTCCCGCCCACACAAAGCCGCTCCCGGGCCTGGGCCGGGTCTGAGAGCCGTCTTTGCACCACACGCGGGCCCGGTGCCAGAGCGGCGTTGTTCCCGCCCTGCTGTGTCTGAGCACGCCAGTTCCTAGTCCGGCTCCAAGTGCACGGAAAGGAACCGTCGCCGCTGTCACTAAGCGCTCTCCCGAGGGAAGCCGTCTGCGGTGGCCAGAGGTTCCGAGAAGCGGAGTGCCAGCTGCTGACCGTGCCCTCACACAGACCCCGGAGTCCGCCTCCCGGCGGTCAGAGCGGCTGGGCCCCTGAGCAGCTCGTCTCCGAGCATCAGTCCTCATCCCTCTGTCTGCACCGAGGCCTTGTGGCCAAGCAGTCCCTCTGCCTCTTACTGTCTGATTCCTGGTACCGTTACCGCCAGAGTTCACACGTTCAGTCCTGTCCCATGTGAGTTTTATCTTGTGCCGCTTTATTTAAGTTACAACTTTTCTCTTTAAATAAAGTGATAGCCAAATTTTCTACCTACTGTACTATGTATTTTCACACCGGGGCTAACATCTTACAAGTTCAGCTAATTCTCTCAGGCACCGTTCTCCCGAGTGAGGCAGTTTCATTCTCCCCAAGGGGTGAGTTTTAGGAGACAGACAGGTTGCACGGGGACTGAAGGCGACCTGTGTCGATGCAGGCTCTTCGGGGTTTTGTCTGCAAGCCCTTCACGCAGAAGCTTCTGTTTGCATCAAGGGCTCTCACGCCTCAGACAAGGACGGGGCCTTGTATGCCCACACCTGGCGATGAGAAGTCAGCGGCGGCACGCGCACCTGCTGATGTTCTTACCGAATTACAGGGCGGTGTCCCCTCAGGGAGGCCCGAGCCCATCGGCGCCTCGGTGCCTGCACTCTGCACGCTGCCAGAGGAAATGGCCTGGAGAGGTGTAAACCGATACCCCTGCAGGGCCCTGTCTCACGGAGTGGGAAGGAGAGGAGAGAGAGGGCTAATGGCAGGATGGGGCTACATTCGACTAGACTACAGGTGCGTCTGGGAGGAGGTAGAGCAAGAACTGTGAGGGAAAACGGTCAGTTTTAGCAAACTGCATATTTTGAGTTTGCAATAAAACACTCCCTGATGAAATGGATGCTATCACATATCGGCAGGGGAACGGCCCTTCCAGTGCGAGGTGAGGTCTCCCAGGGATCGTCCCCAGGGCTGCAGGGGAGTGCACCCTGGGCTCCCAGGAGAACAGGAGCCCTCACCTGCCCCTCCTCCCAGAGCCAGCTCCTTACGGCCCCTCCCCAGGTGTGAAATGGTTTTGTGGCAAAATTGTGCCACCTTGTGGCCTCATTGGATTCAAAGGCTGAACTGAGGAATGTTGCCCAGGCCCATGTTGACCTAGTATCTGTAAGGACTATACACGCACTTCAGTCCAGCACGTGTGCTCAGTGGTTGAGCACTGACCTACAAACCAGCGCACATGCTGGGGCTGGGGCTCATCCCCAGTGTGGGGCGTGCAGGAGGCAGCCGGTCAGTGATTCTCTGTCAGCATTGATGCTTCTGTTTGTCTCTCCCGTCCTGAAATCGAAATACCTTCATTTTATATACATATAAAAGCCTGTGGTCGTCATGCCATCATGCTGGAAGGACCAATCAGCAGGAGGCTGTGTGCTCGGGGTGCAGGGGGACTTGACCAGAGGCGCCGGTGGGTTTCTGGGTCCCGGGTCTCGTGAGATTTCACACTCTGGGCTTCTAGTATTTAAATAAAAAACACTTCAAAACAGTCTCCTTAATGGACCCCCCCCCCCCCATCTACTGCCACACACGTGGGAAGCTAAGACAAGCAGCTCACGGCTCTCCCAGACTGCTTGTTGGGGCAGAGCAGACTGAGAAAAGTGCTTGAGACTATAAAACCGTTTTTTGTTTGTTTGTTTTGTTTTTTGTCTAATCAACAGACTCGATGCAGAGCTGGCATTGCCCTGTCCCGTGGCTGTGCCCCGAGGACGGGGCTGCGGGTGATGGCGGTTTGCTGGTCTGGAGGGAGGGTGAGGACGCCTCCCGGCTCTGGTCGTCGAGCCATTCATTAGCCCGTGTCTGGGGTGACGTCGGCACAGGAACGCCGTGAACAGTTCTATCGAGGACGAGAAGCACAGTTAGAACCAGGCTGTTTCCACTCAGTCATTATCCCCGTTCTCCTCCGCCCACACCTTGGCAACCAGGCCTGCCCACCTGCAGCTCCTTAGCGCCTGGCTATGTGGCGGCAGGTAACTATGGCGACAGGCCTGCTCATAGGCAACCGACTGGCTCCTTCACAAAGCGTGTGGGTCCCGGTCCTTAGGCAGAGAAGCCGTGTGTTCCTCTGGGTGCCAGGACATGCTGTCAGTCCCGGGAAGTGATGGCGACAAGCTGATGGGACAGTGAACAGTGAACGGCCAGTGGTTAGACATCACATATCACTCCCACCCACCCCACACGCTGGGTTCTGTGGCCACGGCACTTCCAGCCCCGCAGGCAGCCCCGCAGGGGCTCACTTCCTGTCCCGTCACGGGAGTGTGTGGCCGGCTCGGCATTCCCACCTGCCTGGGTGCGCTCTTAGTGCTGGGAGGGAGACATGTAAACAGTTCTCATCGTCTTCTTCCAAAACCCTTGAATGTAGCCACAGGGAAAGGTTCCTGCACACCGTCCTGCTGTCCCTCCCTTACAATCCTGGGGGATGGGTGCCCCTTCCACCAGCCAGCTGGGCAGGGCGGTGGGGGGGGGGGTGCGGGCACTCAGGGGTACAGCTCCAGGCGGGGAGGGAGTGCTGGTCCCATTTGGGGTGGTTTTACCTGCAGAAAGGACCAGACTCTCCAGCTCCCATGGCCACGCCCCCAGCAGGGCCACCTCGCGGGTGGACTAGCTCCTCTCAACCTGGCGCAGGGGCTTTCCTGCGGGGGGGGGGGGGGGGGAGGGGAAGGGGTGCCCTGCAGGCCACTCTCCGAACCCCTCAGCTCGGGCTGGCCGGGAGGAGGAGCCCAGTGGCCGGTCAGGGTCAGGGTCAGGGTCAGGGTCAGGGTTAGGCAGGCTGTCAGACGCCCTGCCTCTCACCCCCCTCGGCACCTCCTCCTGTTGGTGCCTGCGCTGCCCGTGTGTGTGCGAGGCCCTGGCTCTGGCCGGCTCCCCGGCTGAGCAGCAGCAGGAGGAAGAGAAGCCACCAGATCTCTTTCTAGGTCTGTGGTCTGTGGGCACCAGGCAGACCGGCTGGAACAGTGCGCGGGGTGGGCAGGGCCGGGGGCCAGAGCAGAAGGCACACAGCAGTGACTCCTCTCAAACCGCGCGTTCGGGGCATCTGCAGGGCAGGCCGCCCGCAGGGGCGTGGGGTGCCGGGCGGCTCCGCACCAGCAGCGCGGAGCTGGCTCAGCTCCGGGGAGGCGAAGCCTGGCTCCTCCGTCCCGGTGTCTGTGCTCACTGACACCCCGTTTCCGCACGCTGCTGCCTCCTTGGCACTGACCGCGGCCAACCGCACGCGCCTTTGCCTGGAAAAAGCCCCTTGCCCAAACCGGTGTGGCTCTGTGGATAGCGCGTCGGCCTGCGGACTGAAGGTCCCGGGTTCGATTCCGGTCAAGGGCATGTACATTGATTGCGGGCACATCCCCGGTGGGGGGTGTGCAGGAGGCAGCAGATCGATGATTCTCTCTCGTCGATGTTTCTGACTATCCCTCTCCCTCCCTTCCTCTCTGTAAAAAACCAATAAAATATATATGCTTTTTTAAAAGAAGCCCCTTGCACGTCCCGGCCGCCGCCCTGAGGACCGGGATGGAGCCGGGCAGTGGGTGCGGGGCCGTGGGAGCGGTGAGGGCCCCCAGGAGCGCGCACGGGGAAACACGGCGGACAGGCGCCCGGCCTCCCAGGAGCCAACGGGAGCGCAGACCACCAGGGCGGAGAGCGCGCATGCGTGCGCCGCGGAGGGGGGCCGGCCCGGACGCGCCGGAAGCGGGGCACCCGGATTTCCGGCCGGCCCGGGGGGCTTTCGGTTCCGGGTTCTCGGCGGCCGGGCGAGTGTCGGCCGCTGGGCCCGGAGCGCGGCCATGGAGAAGCTGCGGCGGGTCCTGAGCGGCCAGGACGACGAGGAGCAGGGCCTGACCGCGCAGGTGGGCGCCGGGGCTGCGCTGCGGGAGGGCTGCCTGCGCCCGAGGGCTTGGGCGCCGGGCGCTCGGGGTGCGGGGGCTGCTGAGACCCGCCCGTTGGCTTCCGAGCCTTGGGCCCGGCTGCCGCCGTCCGCCCCGCGCTGCCGTCCGCCCCGCCGGTGCTGGGCGGAGGCTGCAGCCCTGCCCGGAGCCGCCGCGCCCGGAGTGCCGGCATCGGAGCCGCCGGAGGGGCGCCGTCTGTAGGAAGGAGGGGCGGCCGAGTGGAAGTTGCCGGAAAATAGTTAGAGACCTCGTGTCCACCTCCCCGGGGACTTGATAAGGTTCCTTCCTCTCTGGAGTTAAAAATAGGAGCGGAACTGCCTCCTAAGTGTTTTTGGTGCGTTGCATGCTGACCAATTCCTGTTGGCCTGTCCCAGAACTGGGCCCTGGAACAGGACTGTAGGAGGATGTTTTGTCTGCCCCTCCCCTGGCCTCACTCCCTGCCCTGTCCTACTGCTGAGCACACCTGTGGGCGGGGCCCCAGGCGGGGGGGGGGCGGGGGTGGGGTCCCGGGCCGGTGGGCGGGGAGGGTCCTGGCCGGTGGGCGGGGCCCCGGGCGGGGGGGGGCGGGGGCGGGGTCCCGGGCCGGTGGGCGGGGTCCCGGGCGGGGGGCGGGGTCCTGGGCCGGTGGGCGGTCAGGGTCCCGGGCCGGTGGGCGGGGAGGGGCCTGGCCGGTGGGCGGGGTCCCGGGCGGGGGCGGGGTTTAGGAACCGGAAGACCAGCACCTGCTCTTAGGGAACTGACCGGTTTTTGGGTCAGCGGCAGTGCAGAGCCCACAAGTCCTAAGAGGAGAGATGCCAGCGTGGCAGGAACGCGTCACCACTCACCCTTGAACGGTTGTGCCCCAGTTCAGGTGCTCAGTCTCTGCTGTGCATTGGCCACGGCCACCGCCACACCTGACTGTTTGCCCTGCTTGTGATTACGGTAGTGTCTCAGTGTCTCAGTCGGCACATGCGAGTGGCTGCGGCTTCGGGCAGTGGGTGAGCAGCACGCCCCGTTCTGGAAAGTTCTGTTGGGCCCATCTGCTCTGCACCTGGGGGACCTGGAGGTGATGGAGCCCACAGACTAGGGAGGAGGTAACGGGGTGCTTAGCTGCTGCTTCTGTTGTGGACTCGGAGGTTGTTCGGGGAGAGCTGGCGAGGATGCAGACGGGGAGGAGCCACCTGCACGCCGGCAGGAGCTGGTGGAGGGCGGGATGGAGTGTCCGGCCGGCGGGGAGGAGCCTGGGGGTCTCACTGTTCCTTGGGGTGAAGGACAGGAAGCTGCTGTTGCGCCGGAGGGTCTAGTCCTGGGAGGGTGAGGCTGGAGCTCCCCTGGCCTGTGCCAGGAGGGTGTGCCCACGGGCCTCCCCCAGGTGGCTCTGGAGGCCAGGCTCTGACCAGGCGACAGGCCCGTTTCTGGGAGCGAGTGAGGAGTGGCGGGCGGTTGGTGGAACGAGGGGAGGGCTCTCCTCTGTGCACCCTGCTTCGTTCCGGGCCACGCAGGCCTCTGAGCGCGTCCGCGTCGCCCAGGTTCATGGGGCCCCTCCCTCCTGCTCTCCAGCTCCCGCTGAGCTTCCCACAGCCCCTCTGCCCCAGGGTCGTGGGTGGGCACTCGCTGTGAGGGCAGCGGCCTCCTGGGCTTCCCAGTCAGGAGCACAGCCGAGTGGGAGAGAAGCCAGGTAAGCCAGAGTGGAAGGGCTGCTTCCGCCTGCTGCCCCCTCCCCCCGGTCCCATTCTCCCCAGACGGGCACGGCCGAGTCCGGGAGACCAGGGGAGACGGGGGGCCTCAGCGGAGGAGGAAGCCACGGGCAGTTCTAGGGGCCCTGCGGGCGGGGCGGGGGGGTCAGAGAGGAGGAGAGCATCTTCAGGCCCCCCGCCCTGGGAGAGGCCTCTATGGCCGGATGGGAGAGGAGCTTCGGCTGCCCAGGGCTCGGTGAAGAGACCGGGCGTGGGGCGTGGGGCGTGGGGCTGAGCTAGGGAGGGGCTGGAGGCCCAGGGCCGTCCTCTGCTGCAGCTCCTTGCAGCCGCCTGGTGTGCTGTAGGCAGGGCAGTCTCCCGACACCCTTCACCGGAGGCAGGCTCCTCCCAGCACTCGGAGCTGGCCCCTGGGAGCACTCAGTACGAGATGCATGGATGGGAGGGTGGATGGATGGGAGGGTGGGTGTGTGGGTGGTGGGTAAATGGGTGGGTGGATGGGTAGGTGGATGGATGGGAGGGTGGGTGGGTGGATGGATGGATGGGAGGGTGGGTGTGTGGGTGGTGGGTAAATGGATGGGTGGATGGATGGGGGTGTGGGTGGATGGATGGCTGGGTGGATGGATGGGAGGGTGGGTGGGTGTGTGGGTGGTGGGTAAATGGGTGGGTGCATGGAGGGGAGGTGTGGCTGGGTGAGCTAGCCAGCAGAGGCTGAGGGTGAAGTCAGAGCAAAGCTCCCCTGTGAAGGTGGGAGCACGTCAGCAGGTCTCGGGCGGTGGAGGTGGTCTCCGTGGAGGTGGTCTCGGAGAGAACAGGGCTCTCCATGGAGGGAGGGGAGGCCGGTCAGTTCCCTGGAAGTTCCCTGGGGCTCTAAAGGTTGGGCCGGAGGCTGGGAGCCGGCCGTGATCCAGGGCAGGGGAGGCAGGGAGGGCTCTGGAGGGGCTCGCTGGTGGGTAGCAGCTGGCAGGGGGGCCTCCCACCCACGGCCTCCGTTTGTTTCCAAGGCTGTGGCGGCTGAGCCTTCGAGTGGGGCGGCCCGGAGAGGGCCTGGCCTGTGCTCCTCCTCTTTCTCTCGTTCGCTCGGTGGTTCTGAAGGAGGCCGCGCAGGAGCTCTGCTCCGTGGCTCCTTGGCTGAGGCCACGTGTTCCTTGTTTCAGTGCCGCGTGCCCTGTGGCAGCCAGTCTCCCTTCTCCACAGGAACCAGCACCTCCCGGCTGTGGCTCGCTCCTCCCTACGCCGCCGTGCTGTGTTCACGCTGTGTGCTGGCCACGAGCTGGTCCCGGCTGTGTGTGTGTGTGTGTGTGTGTGTGTGTGTGTGTGTGTGTCCGCCCACCGTGACCAACAGCACGCAGGGGGGCCATACGCTGGGGAGGAGAGGTCGCTGAGGGCCTGGTTCTCCTGGTCTTGCCGGTTGCTAGGCACGATGGGGGATCTAAAGTGGGTTAGAAAGCGCCCTGCCTGGTTTGGCTCGGGGTAGAGCACCGGCCTGCGGACTGAGGGTCCCGGGTTCAGGTCCAGGCAAAGGCATGTGTGCACCTCGGCTGCAGGCTCCGCCCCCGCCCGGGCCTCGGTCAGGGCTCGGCAGGAGGCAGCCAATCAGTGTGTTTCTCTCACACCAGTGCTTCTCTCTGTCTTTCCCTCTCCCTTCCTCTCCCTGAAAACCACTGGACACATATCCTCGGGTGAGGATCAACAGAAACAAAATGAAATGGGTTAAGAGTGATGGGTGTTACTTTGACAGAGTCCTTATTCAGTTATTTTTATCTACTTTCATGCTACGTAAGGATTCACAGATTAATGGACACAGGTAAGCACGTAGCAAAGGTATTGGAGCTTTTGCATGTGAAACTGTCTGTTTTTACTTCATTATTCTTGGAAATACATTATCTGCAGGCTCATTAAGTCTGTGCTGCAGTGTTGGGCATTTCAGTTTTGGTGTGTAAGTTCTCACGTGTGTTTCTCCTGTCCCGCCTTACTGGGAAGCTGTGTGTTACTGGCGCCATGTACCCGCGTGTGCCCGCTCACGGTCATGCATGCTGCTCTGTCCCCCTCACCGCGGGCCCAGGCGGCTCTGCCTGCCCACGGTGTTAGCCCTTGCGTGATGAGCAGGGATTGCCAACCTTTGGACCTCCGGGGCCGGTGGTCCACAGACCCAGCTGGGGACGGCTGCTCTGGAGTAAATGACGTTCACAGGTGGTTAACGCTGGCGGGCGGCCCGGCTCTCCCCGCTGCTGCAGTGAACACTTACAGCGAGGCTGTCAGTCAGGGTGTCCGACGGCAGACTCTGCTGCCTGTGCAGGTCCCATCGCCAGGCCGCTGTGCCCCCGGCCTCCAGGCTCAGCCGCTGGCGGAGGAAGGTTCCCACCCTCCCCGCAGGCACCATCTCAGCCACCAGACAGGTGCTGGGGGCGGTGCGAGCCCGTGCGCCACGCCGGCCTCCGCCTTCGTGAGCAGCTCGCCGCTTCTTGCACCTTCCCCTGCTTCTCACACCCGGCGCTTTGCCGTCTGTCCTACGCCGATGCCGCGTCCGTGTTGGAGTGACGGGCTGTCTAACCGGAGCCCAGAGGCCAGCGGTTCCTCAGGGCCGCCTGCTCCCGGGCCGCCTTGAGCTCCCCTAACATTGGGCCCCCCTGCCGTTGGCACGGTGACACGCGTCCCCGGGTTCGGGGGCTCGCCTGGGTGAGTGAAGAACGGTGCTGTGTGGCCCCAGCGCGCTCTGTTCCCCCCCAGGTCCTGGACGCCTCCTCCCTGAGCTTCAGCACCAGGCTCAGGTGGTTTGCCATCTGCTTCGTGAGCGGCATCTTCTTCTCCATCCTGGTGAGTGGAGGCTGGGCCTGGTCCTCTGGGCTGCGGCGCCGTCCGGTGGCTCAGGCCGGGTGGGGCCTCGTCAGCCACGTGAAGGAGGGCAGAGATGTGCAGAGATCTCTGCAGGAGTTAATGTCGGGGCTACGGATTAATGTTTCCGTCAGTTAAATCCGAAGGAGCTGCGGAGCCAGTGAGTAGATGTTAATGCCTTTTAACTGGCTGTAAAAGGAGGGTAGGTAGACAGACTTACCACACGTGTGAGGAAGCTGGGCTGCGGCTCAGCTGTCTGTACTTGTGACAGACCCAAGAGTCAAATCGGCAAGTAACAGTGAAGTTAACATTGAGATGGCCTGGGCCGCACCGAGCGCACTTACGCCGAACACTCACACCTCCCGAGCCCTCAGCACCGCTCAGGGAGCCTCACCGGGCGGCTCACCGCTCTCGTCTCCGCAGGGCACGGGGCTGCTGTGGCTGCCGGGCGGCATCAAGCTCTTCGCCGTCTTCTACACGTTTGGGAACATCGCCGCCCTGGCCAGGTGCGTGCGGGCGCGGCTCCTCGCCACCAAGTTCCTTCCCAGCACCTCCCGGAGGGACGTGTTTCCGTGGCTCTGGCTCCGCCACGGTCCGTGTTCCTGCCGTGAGTGTGACTCCTGCGCCCTCTCCCACAGCACGTGCTTCCTGATGGGGCCCTTCAAGCAGCTGAAGAAGATGTTCGAGCCCACGCGGCTGCTGGCCACCGTCATCATGCTGGTGAGTGACGGGCGGGAGCCCGGAGCCCGGTGATGTGTCTGAGTGAGCGCCGTCTGGCCTCTGCGAGGGACCGGCCGCACTACTGTCTCCCCGCCACGCCGTCCCCTCTCTCGCTGCCTGTGGTGGTGACGGAGGCCCCACAGGACCGGCCAGCGCGGGGGCTCCGGGGAGGGGGTCCGAGCCGCTGCCTGTCCTGGTCCGGCCACGCGCGTTCTCGGGGGCTGCTGTGGGCGCTCTTGGCGGGGGCTGGCCACCGGGGGCCTCTCGGGGGCTGGCTTTCGTTCAGTGGCCTGTGCCCTGCGCTGTCCCTCCGTCGCTGGCTCCAGCTGTGGGCTGTCCCTGGCCATCGGTCCCACTGCTCAGGGCTCCTGGTCTCTGGCGTTGGTGTAGAACATTGATTTCATCGTCACGCGCGTGGGGTGTTCACGGACCGCTTTGGGTGTGCTGGGCAGAGGGAGCCCCTCCCGCCAGCCTGTGCATGTGCTGCCTGCGTCTCCCCCACAGCCCTCCCCCCCACAGCCCTCCCCTAAGCTGCTTGGAACACGCTCTGCAGGTCTGTAGGTAGGAAGTGTTCAGGGTAAAGTGGTCTCCCTCCTCCTGGCAGAGAGAGACCTTCAGCCCATTCTTTATTCGTGCCCTTACTCAGCGTCCTCTCCTCGTCACATTGTGTCCATGGTGTCCCATGGGCCTCCTGGCCGTCCTGCCGGCTCCTGGAGCAGCAGGGGTGTGACGTGACCTCTGAGGAGACGGCGGTGCCCGCACTGTTAGACCCCGCAGGCCACGCTCACTCAGGTGGCACCCGGGCCCGAGTGGCAGCGCGGACGGTCAGGACACACCCTCCCGGGTTGCTCCTGACGCTCGGGTCTGACGCCGCTGACTCAGCACGCCCGGCCGGACGCTGTGCACGGCCTCGCAGCTGCTGAGGGGATTGTGCCTGACAAAGGCGGAGGCGTGCTGGCACTTACACCGTCTGAGTGCCGCCCCACCCCCAGCACACGACAGACATGCTCTGATCTGTTCGCTGCAAAGGAAGGAGCAGGTGGGCAGCTGCTGTCCTTTCAGAGAGAGGTGACCGAGGCCCAGACCTCCTGCCTGTCACTGCCCCTCCGTGGGCCCTGCCTCCCGGCCCCGGGGTGGGCGTGCCGAGCCGCTCTGGGGGCAGGCCTCCTGGCTCCGTGTGGCACCGCTGTGCTGACCACTGGCGCTGCTGGTCTTGCATCAGCATAAGCAGGTGTTCCTGAGTCCTGCAGACACCGTGGGCGCACTCGGAGAGGACATTCCGGGTGCTTCTGAATGCAGGGCGCTCATCGCCTTTGGGGTCTGCTGCACCACCTCTGATGGCATCCATGCCAGCGTAGGCGGCGATGTGTGCCTCGTCCAGCTTCTGCGAGAACGCACTCACCGGCTCTCTCCTCCCCAGGTGTGCTTCGTGCTCACCCTGTGTGCTGCTCTGTGGGTGAGTACATGGGCCAGCCTGCTTCCCACTCACCGTGCCCTCCAAGGAGCTCTCCGTCTGCCCTTAACCCACCAACGATGGTGTCCCTAATGCGGTGGGGGTGACAGACCTGCCTGGCTGCTGCGGCTGGAACGGGCAGGGCTGGCTGTCCTCACTGCTGTCAGCTGCCGCCCGCCCGCCCGCCCGGGAGAGCTGACACCACGCCCCGTGATGGGGGAAACTCCTAACAGTCCTTTCAGGTCCCAGAGGAATTGCTTTCTGGCTTTGGAACGGGCTAGCAGCCGTTTCTTTATAAGCGGCAGATTACGTAAAAAGTAAATAAATGACAATTAAAAATGGACAAGGAATTCTAAAGGATCATTTAAAAAGTCATGGAAACTGTTTATTATGCATTATAAAAAGAAGATCCCAATCAAAGGCAGTTTTCCTTCAAAAAATAATTCAAGAAAAGGGGCAAGTGAGAGTGAGTAAGATCTGCAAGTTCTACGGAGCGGTCAGCTCTGCTGGTACCGAGGGGGCAGCAGTCATGTGACTCCAGCCCTAGCCGTGCGGCGCCAGGCGTGAGGAGGAGTGAAGTCAGCGGGTGCGCAGTCAGGTTTCACACCTGCTGGCGTGTCCTGGTCACGCTGGACCTGCAGAGGGAGCTGCGGGCTCGCCGCGGAGGGAGGGCACAGGAGGGGAAGGGTCAGCCAGCTCCTCACGCTCTTGTCTCCCGCGCCAGTGGCACCAGAAGGGGCTGGCCCTGCTCTTCTGCATCCTGCAGTTCCTGTCCATGACCTGGTGAGTCCCGCCCGCGAGGAGGCCACGCCCCTGCGCGGAGCAGCTGCTCCGAGCCGGGCTGGAGGCCGTGGGCTCGGCTGGGGGTGGGGGTGAAGGGGGTGCGTGTGCCTCGGTGGGCCAGGCCCCGGAGTGTCTGCTGAGGGAGTCTGCCGTGGACTGCAGGCGGGCGGGCGTGTGTGTGTGTGTGTGTGTGTGTGTGTGTGTGTGTGTCAGTGTCCGGGTGGGGGAGGGGTCCTGTGTAATCACACCAGGTGCCGGTACTTGTCTCTGAGATTGAAGGAGAAGTGATAACACATGTAGGTGATGCTGCAGGAGTGCTGGGCAGGCGCTGAGGTTCTGGTTCCCCTGAGGACCGAGGTGGGAGCAGCTGTGGTCCTGCTCTCTGTGCCAGGCAGGCCCTCCGCCCGCTCTACGTGGCCCTGAGCCGCACCGGTGAGGGCTGAGTGCTCTCCTCCCACCCTCCGCTGCCTTCAGCGCGAGTTTGGTTTTTTCCTCCGGGGCCAGTCAGCCCTCCCTGTGGGCTGTTTCCCAGCCGGGGGTCCTCTTTGGCCCGTTTCTTCCCTCCCACCCGTACGTGTGCCGTCAGCGGATGTTACCCCGGGGCCGGGGCTGCTGGGGGCCGGCCCCCCTGTCTCCGCTCAGGCCCCTGCGTGTTCTCTCCGGCTCTGGGCCCGCGCCGGGCCCCTCCTCCTGAGCTGGTCACGACCGTTACAGCCTAATTTGCATGTTACCTCTTTTTCTATAGATAGATAACTGTAAAAGGGTAACGTCTTGTCACAACAGCTCAGACTGGAGCAGGCTGAGCGCTCAGAGTTTGGGCCCGGGAGGGTGCGGGGGCCCGTGGGTGCGGGGCCAGAGGCGGCGGTGCTGAGCTGCCGGCCGGTCTCGCTGGGGAAGGGCTGTGCCTCCCGGGAGGAACGCTGAGACTGCGTTCCAACAGCTGCCCTTCCCTTGCAGGTACAGCCTGTCGTACATCCCGTATGCAAGGTGAGCTCGTGTGACTCCCTCCGCGTCCGTTAGTGACACAAACCACCGGCTTTAGTCGTTCTCACAGTGAATTGTGACTTAGATGGCGGACTTTTCCACAGGAGACGGCATTCCAAGCGGGCGGTAAAGGGAGTCAGTGTGGGGGCGCCATGTGACCGTGCTAGCGGGGGGCTGGGGACGGACTCCTGTCTGGTCAGTCGCCTGGTCCTTTGCTGCCGGCACCTTGGACGAGAGCTTCTGGATCCTTCCGCAACGGCAGAGAGTCGCTAGATGGGCTGTGGAGGCTCCAGCAAGACAAATTCTATCTTTTTAAAGAGGAGTTAGTGAGAGAGTGAGGTCTGGCACGCGGTGCCGTTCTCAGCCGTGGAAAGGCCTGTCCTGTGTCAGCCGCTGCCCCGTCCCTCAGACTGGGCTTGTCCTGGAGGCAGCTCAGCTCGCTGTGAATGAGCAGGAGGCAGCGGGCAGAGGGGTCCCTGCGCTGGCAGATTCTGACCTGGTTAACCCCCCCCCCCCAGGGACGCCGTCATGAAGTGCTGCTCGTCCCTCCTGGGCTGAGGACAGACCCGGGACCCCGCCTGTGGCGTGGCCGCTGGTTTGGTGTTTTCTGAGCCGGCGACCACCCTCCCGCCGTGCCGTCAGCACACGGACCGCGGCCAGTAAACTGTGACGCTTTCCCCGGAGGCCGACCGGCCCATGAATGCCTGCAGCGTTCTAGTCCTTCCCCAGCCACATTGAGCTGGGAATATTCAGGGATAAGTCTCTGCTGCACCGATCTGTCTGGCTTTTCTAAATGTCAAGATTTAAAAACACTTTAATGTGAAAGTTTTTACTTTAAACTAAAAATTGCTTATTATATGTAATAAAATAATATATAAATGTTTACAATTTAAAAAAATAAGCCCATTCATGGATAGAATTTGCAGCCTTTTAAGTGGGCGGAGCCTTGGTTCAGTGGAGTGAAATTTGGGACTCCGTGGGGAGAGTGGACAGCAGGTGGGCAGGTGGGGGACCAGCCGCTGGCCACCCAGGAGCCTGCTGGGGGGCGGCCAGAGCTAGAGCATTGGTGAGATTATCACCAAGGAGACCCCTCCCCCCGCAGGTTCCCCACAGCCAGGTCCCCCCCCAGCCAAGTCCCCCCCCAGCCAGGTTCCCTCCCCCAGCTAAGTCCCCCCCCCAGCCAGGTTCCCCCCCCAGCCAAGTCCCCCCCCAGCCAGGTCCCTCCCCCAGTCAGGTTCCCCCCCCCCAGCAGGTCCCCCCAGCAGGTCCCCATCAGGCCCTCGCTGCCCTCGGGTCCATGCAGCCTGGCGGCTGGGGGTCCCTCAGGCAGTGCCCACAGGCAGTGGTGCTTGGCCCCTCCCGCCTCACCCCCAGGCCCCCACTCCTGACAAGCCCTCCACTCCTGACAAAGCGCCCACTGCTCCCGCGCTTGATCCCTCCCCCAAGGGGCAGCACCTGGAGCCAGCGCAGCGCCTTCAGAGCCGGAGGGGCCTGGGGGCTGGGCTGCCCGCACTCACCACTCCCCACTCCCCATCTCCACCTCCCCTCCCCCCAGGACCGGGAGCCGGTGGGAGGGGAGAATGAGTGACAGCTGCGGCCGGTGTGGAAGCTGCACTCGCACTGGGAGGAGGTGTGCGTGTGGGGCGGTTTGGGGGTGCTGCTGCAGATCGGGGTGCAAACCCTCCTCTCTCCCAGCCCCTCCCGCTGCGGCGCGAGGCTCTTGCTGGGGTCCTGGCCCAGAAGCTCCTCGGCTGGAACACGGGCATTGGGGTGCAGTGGGACGGCCAGGGGCTGGGAGGGGTGCCCTGCCCCTAGGACCGCTGGCCCGGCGTCTGAGTCCCCCTCTGACCGCTGTGCGCTCCCCTGGGCTCCGGGCGCTCCTGCTCCATCAGCCGGTGTGAGATGTAACCGAATGGTGTTTAAAATTCATGTGTTTTTATTGATTTCAGAGCAGAAGTGGGAGGGGGAGAGAACACCAGTGATCCACCGTGACTCTGAGCAGGGTGGGGTGGGGCTGAGATGGCTGGTGCACCGCGTCCTAACTGCTCAGGCCTCAGCCCCCCTCTGAAGACCAGGGGCGCCCCCAGCCAGGACCTAACTGGGCGTTCCCATCGGAGCCCCACAGGAACCTCAGAAAGGCCCGGCTCCTTCCTGCCTCTGACCCTCAGGCACAAGGACCCCTGTGCCCACCCCGAGCTGGCGAGCTGGGCGTTCCTTCTGAAACGCAGGTCCAGCGTGAGAGCGATTCACACGGGCCCGTTCCCCCGTCCGTCCGTCCGCCGCCCCAGCCCCGCGTCTCCGCCTCTGCCTCCGGCTGCGGCCGCGTGGACCTGGCAGCGTCCTGGCCGCGCTCCTGCGGGCGCCAGGGCGGGCGGAGGGCGGAGGGCGGAGCGGCTCGGCCTCCAGCCCGGGAGCGCCGGCGGGCTGAGGAGGGAGGACGGGCCGACGGGAAGGGGGAAGAAGGACCTCTGCATGTTTTCAACAACAGATTTCTTTTTTTTTTTTTTTTTTTTTAATATATTTTATTGATTTTATACAGAGAGGAAGGGATAGAGATAGAGAGTTAGAAACATCGATGAGAGAGAGTCATCGATCAGCTGCCTCTTGCACACCCCCTACTGGGGATATGCCCGCAACCAAGGTACATGCCCTTGACTGGAATCGAACCTGGGACCCTTCAGTCCCCAAGCCGACGCCCTATCCATTGAGCCAAACCAGTCCCGGCACAACAACAGATTTCTTTAAAAATATTGATTTTTTTACGGAGAGGAAGAGAGAGGGACAGAGAGTTAGAGACAATGATGAGAGAGAAACATCGACCAGCTGCCTCTGGCACACCCCCTACCGGGGATGTGCCCGCAACCAAGGTACATGCCCTTGACCGGAATCGAACCCGGGACCCTTCAGTCCGCAGGCCGACGCTCCATCTACTGAGCCACACCGGTTTCAGCAACGACAGATTTTTTTAATGAAGAAAGTCCCGGCACTCCCTGAGGATGCCGTCTGTGCTGAGGGCCGAGCAGCTCCTCGGAGTCAGGCCCTCTCCGCAGACGAGGGAGGAAAGCGCTCACGTGTTGTAAGTGCAGCACAGAGGTGACCCCCACACACGTGCAGTGGCACCAGAACCAAAGCTTCTGCCCCGTGGAACCCCAGGGCCGGGGCAGAGCGGGGCGGACACAGGCCCGGAGGGCGGGACCCAAAGGTCTGCCCCGGAACCACAGCCTTTGCGGCCGCCGGGCGCTGTCCAGGAGGCTGTGGTGCTGAAACCTGAGGTCTCGGGACAGGCGAACCCCCTTCTGGCCACGGGTTCTCACCCGGCTTCTGTGTGTTCGAGACGTCAGTGACCTTTCCCCTTAATTAAGATTGAGCCCGGCCCGGGTGGCTCAGTGGTTGAGCACCGACCTATGAACCAGGTCAGGGCACAGGCCTGGGTTGTGTGCTGCATCCCCGGTAGGGGGCGTACAGGAGGCAGCAGATATGTGATTCTGTCTCGTCACTGATGTTTCTCGCTCCCTCTCCCTTCCTCTCTGAAATCAATGAAAACATACCCTATTTTTTTGAAGCTCATTTGGCCCTATTGCTCCCATGAACTCGCTCACACTGTATATTTGACTCAGACGTGGGGGATGTAAGGAAGGTGGGCCTTCCTCTGGTGGGTAACTGCTGACTTCCCCGTGGAGTAAACACGAGCCCGGTGTGCTCAGGGGGAGGCCTGTGGCTCAGGAGGTCACGAGTCTGGAAGCCCACGTTTTTGGGCGGAGGCCAGGCCTTGGGGAGCAGGTGCGGGCGCAGCCTGAGTGCACGTGACACGGACCGCGTGGTCTTTAACGTCCTCCGTCCGGGCCCTCAGCTCATCCCCGATGCCGGCCACGGTCGGGCAGTGGCCAGCCCTGTGTCTTTGCGGGCGCCTGCAGCCTGGCCGGCTCGAGCCAAGCTGAGCTGCCCGTTGGGACACAGCTCTGAGCCGAAGCCACTTGCACGTGCGTGAGCTCTGCGTGCAGCCTGTCATCCACGGCCCCACGGAGCACGTGGCAGCTGGAAACCCGCCCGGGACACGGAAGCCCATGCTGTCCTGGGTCCCACATTCTGTCCACTGCTGAGCTGTGCGGCTCCCGGTTCTCGGGCGCCCTCTGGAGGCAGGAGGGGGAGCAGGGGCGGGCCATGGAGACCTCAGCCTCCCCTCACGGCCACAGCCACGCGAGTCGCAGGACAGCCGGTGTGCAGGCAGGTCCCCGGAAGCAGTGGCGTGGATTTGTGGTAACTCGGGGGCTTCCTGTGTCCTCTGAAGGGGCAGGTTCTGCAGCCGAGGCATGGGAGGGGGTGAACACGGAACAGTGAGCGCACCTGGGACAGCTGGCCCCACTGGAGCGCGGGGGCTGAGGGAGGCGGATGGTGGTAAGGGGTGTCAGCACAAAATCCGAGTCTTTACTCTTCCTCAGTCCACACACTGCCCCCGCTGAGCTGCCGGCTCACCCTGTGCTAAGGGTCAGGGTCTGTAAGAGGCGACCAGACACCACACGGGTCAGGAGTGCAGGCGTCAGTGAGTAATTGGTGTAACCCTCGGAGGGATGACGGCTGGGCTCAGTGGAGAAAGCTGAGGCAGGTGAGGGGGTGAGGGGTGAAGGGGTGAGAGGGTGAGGGGGTGAGGGAGCTGAGTTGGGACTGGGGACCGGCAAGCAGACCACGGGATTCAGACGGGCCTCTCCCTCTGATCGCGCCTGGGGCGGCGGGAATGAAGACAGCTGAGCTGCTGACCCACCGTCTCTCCATCTCCATCAGCTGGACCCCAAGGAAGCAAGATAAGCAGCAGCTCCCTGATTTGGACCAGTGGTTAGAAAATGCTAAGGGAAGACCCACACATTTCTTAAAAAGAGGAAACCCCAAAACATCCATACTGGGCAAGTACAGGCCCTGCCACCAGCACACCTCCTACCCCCAAACACACACACATGCCGCGCGCACACACACACACACACGGGCACACACACACTGCATTCTCACAGGCACACATGCGTGCAGGAGAACAGACAGAGCCAGGGGGCAGCCAGGGGCTCTGGCAGAGAACAGGGTCCGCCTGAGGCCTGGGGGCGCAGAGCCCACACACACTTCCTTTCTGGCGCGGGGGGCCACCACGGCCTGGCTGCAGTCCCACCGGTGAGAGAGGTTACTTCCCCGACGCGGGCGAGATCAGTCAGGATTGCTTTCAGACTGAAAACACTTCTCACTAACAAGCCACGGAAACTGGCAGCTGCCCTGCCCTCCCGCCTGCAGCCCCCTCTGTCCCAGGTGCGCTCACCTGTGGGGGAGGGGGGGGAAGGGGAGGCGCAGTGTTAGGTTTTTTAAAAATAGATTTTTTAAACGATTTTCCAGAGAGAGGAAGGGAGAAACGTTGGTAAAAGAACAAACAGTGATGGCTGCCTCCTGGCACACCCCCTGCCAGGGATGGAGCGGCCGCCGCACGGACCCTCACTCTCCAGACCATCACAGGTGGGAGAGGCGAGGGCCAGGCCGGGCCGAGGAAGCAGCAGCCGCGCCTGTGTCCGTGGGTGAGAACAGAA